TCCAGTTAGATTTATAAATATAAAAGTATCAAACAACAAAGATCTTCATACCAATTAATTAAAAAAAAAATGCGACAAATATAATGTAGTCTACTTGATTATACTACTTCCTTTAATTGAGTGACTTGTGTTTGGAGGGACCGGTTATTATGACAACACACCTTGTGTTGTTATTGTAACAACAATAGTCTCCAACCAATAGGAAGTTAGGGTTGTGATGACTTTTTATTAGATGAGTTGACCTAGTGTAAAATCAAAGCAGGGGTATAATGGTCATTATGAAAAATATGTTTAAATAATAATAAAAAATTAAAAATAAAAAATAAAAAAAATAAAAATAAAAATAAAAATAAAAATAAATATTTTTTTATTTTCGGCCAAAAAATTTGGTCGCCGGAATTCTGCCACCGGTCGCCGGAAATTGGGTCTCGGTCACCGGAATATGCTTTTTGTCGCCGGAATATGCTATTTGTCGTCGGAATATGCTTACCGGCGTCGGAATCTAGTCATCGGGGCCGGAATATGCCTATCGGCGTCGGAATCTGCTCACTGACGGTCACCGGAGTTCGGTCAACGGTCTTCGTTGATCGGTCAACGGTCAACGACCACCGGATGTATGGTCTGCATTGTGAGATTTATGGTTTGGTTTCTCATATTTTTTTATGCCTTTTGTGGTTTGCTTTATCGTGTTTGTGGTTTGCTTTATCGTGTTTGTGGTTTGCATTGAGAAGTTTCTGGTTTGCTTTAAAAAACTTTGTGGTTTGCATTGAGGGGTTTCTGGTTTGTTTTAATATATTTGTGGTTTGCATTAGGACGTTTATGGTTTGCTTTTTTGTGGTTTGATTTACTGTGTTTGTGGTTTCATTAGGAGGTTTCTGGTGTGCTTTCGCAAATGTTGTGGTTTGCTTTGTGAGGTTTGTGGTCTGTTTAGGAGATTTGTGGTATGCATTAGAAGGTTTCTGGTTTGCATTAAGAAGTTTTTGGTGTGCTTTCGAAACTTTTGTGGTTTGCTTTTGCAAGGTTTATGGTTTGTTTTAATATATTTGTGGTCTACATTAGGACGTTTTTGGTTTGTTTTACAGTGTTTGTGTTTTGCTTTACCGTGTTTGTGGTTTGTATTAGAGGGTTTCTGGTGTGCTTTTCAAAATATTTATGGTTTGTTTTGTGGGGTTTCTGATATGTTTTAGCGAATTTGTGGTTTGCATTAGGAGGTTTACGGTATGTTTTTTGTGGGTTATTTTATTGCGTTTGTGATTTGCACTAGAGAGTTTTTGGTGTTAGAAATATTTGTGATTAGAAATATTTGCTTTCCTACTGCTGGCCCACTTTGCTTATGTACTCGAAAGGTAAAGACTATCAAAGCTGCTGCAGCAGCCATTACAGGACTGTTCCAAGTAAACTCTTTAATTTTCCAGGGAGGATGAACCATTACAGGACTGTTCCAAGTAAACTCTTTAATTTTCCAGGGAGGAATTTCATCCGAGAGGGAGATTGATTCAATATTATTCAACAAGAATCCTGCAATTGGTACCGTAATTAGTAAAATCCAATACTTTCCCTCCTCTAGCTTCCTCTCTCTTCTCCTTCAAGCTCTTCTTCTCTTCCTTGTCTCCCCTCCTCTCTTCCTCCAAGCTTCCGATCCCGTCTCGGTCTTCTCTCTCATTCGACCGCCCTGCTTCCACCTACGACTCGCTCGCCCAAACCCTCAATTCGTCCGTTATTTCCAAAGTTGACTGGAATGGATGCCGTTTCTCGAGGTCTATTTGGTGATAAAACACACACTTCCCCTGCTCGCGATCGCCGCCAAACGCAGCTGCTCGCTAGTCGCCCTCGTCGCCTTGCTATGCCTGTCCCAAAATAATTAATCGCCTCCCCCCTGAGACTTTCCGTCCCAAGCTGCCTTTTCTTTTCCCTAGCAATTCCCAAGCCCAAAACGTGTGTCCTTCGCTTCTTGCCGCCTCGATGCGCCAGCTGATTCATGACTACGCCTGGGATTCGGTCGTCTCGAGCTCGATTGACGGTACGCCATTGAATTGTGGGTTCTCTTCTGTTAGGTCGAATTTGATTGTTCTGTTTTCCCCCGTCTTTGAATGGATTGTCGGAGTTTTTATCGGCGGCGGATCATAGAAGGATTAGAGGATTTGTGACGCCGGCGGTGGAAGAAAGAAGGAACAGTGGGAGATGGGGAGGAACGGAAGAAACTGGATGAGCGGATTAGGGTTCGGCGGTGGAAGAAAGAAGGAACGGCGGGAGATGGGGAAGAACGGAAGAAACTGGATGAGCGGATTAGGGTTTGAGGATTATTTGTTTAATTTTAATTTGATATTTTTTGTTAATTTACTTATTTACCCTTAATGAATTCTGTTGTTATAATAACAACATTAGGGATGTTGTTATACTATCCTGACCCGTGTTTGGATAATAAAAGACTTTTAGGGACTTGTGTGCAAGGCTGCTACCAATTTGCATTGTCAATAAATTACTATAACTACAAATGGGCGGGGGAACAATTAATTTTGACCCACCTAAATCTTTATTTTTCCTTACTCGGCCCTAGAATAGAATGGAGTCTTCCATCATGCCCAGCAAACCCAAAATTAACGCACATTATCTCATTCCATTTTAATATTAAACTAGAGCCTGTGCTCTATAGCACCCATGCTATAAAAAAGGTGACCTGTTGAGGAGGTAAACCCACTAAATGACTGGTCCCACATTATTAATGGCAATTTTGTAAATAATGAATCAATGTATACAAGTGTAGGTACAAATTAGAGTTGTACCATATTGTATAGGTACAAGTTTCAGCTGTACCATTGAAGAATTTGTTTCACAAACTGTAGGTACAACTTAAAGTTGTACCATTAGTAAAGGTACAATTTTGAGTTGTACCATGAAGGGATTTATTAGAAAGTGTAGGTACAACTTAAAATTGTATCATATTATAGGTACAAGTTTGGGTTGTACCATAAAAGAATTTTGAGAAAGTGTAGGTACAACTTAAGGTTGTACCATTAGTATAGGTACAATTTTTAGTTGTACCATAAGGGATTTGTTAGAAAGTGTAGGTACAACTTAAAGTTGTACCATGGTATAGGTACAATTTTGGGTTGTACCATAGAAGGATTTTTAGAAAGTGTAGGTACAACTTAAAGTTGTACCATGGTATAGGTACAAGTTTGGGTTGTACCATAGAAGGATTTTGAAAAAGTGTAGGTACAACTAAAAGTTGTACTATTAGTATAGGTACAATTTTGAGTTGTACCATAAAGAGATTTATTAGAAAGTGTAGGTACAACTTGAAGTTGTACCATTAGTATAGGTACAATTTTGAGTTGTACCATAAAAGGATTTATTAGAAAGTGTAGGTACAACTTAAAATTGTACCATGTTATAGGTACAAGTTTGGGTTGTACCATAGAAGGATTTTGAAAAAGTGTAGGTACAACTTAAGGTTGTACCATTAGTATAGGTACAATTTTTAGTTGTACCATAAAGGGATTTGTTAGAAAGTGTAGGTACAACTTAAGGTTGTACCATTAGTATAGGTACAATTTTTAGTTGTACCATAAAGGGATTTGTTAGAAAGTGTAGGTACAACTTAACGTTGTACCATTCGTATAGGTACAATTTTTAGTTGTACCTTAAAGGGATTTGTTAGAAAGTGTAGGTACAACATAAAGTTGTATCATAGTATAGGTACAAGTTTGGGTTGTACCATAGAAGGATTTTGAAAAAGTGTAGGTACAACTAAAAGTTGTACCATTAGTATAGGTACAATTTTGAGTTGTACCATAAAGAGATTTATTAGAAAGTGTAGGTACAACTTAAAGTTGTACCATTAGTATAGGTACAATTTTGAGTTGTACCATAGAGGGATTTGTTAGAAAGTGTAGGTACAACTTAAAAGTTGTACCTATGGTATAGGTACAAGTTTGGGTTGTACCATAAAAGAATTTTGAGAAAGTGTAGGTACAACTTAAGGTTGTACCATTAGTATAGGTACAATTTTTAGTTGTACCATAAAGAGATTTGTTAGAAAGTGTAGGTACAACTTAAAGTTGTACCATGGTATAGGTACAAGTTTGGGTTGTACCATAGAAGGATTTTTAGAAAGTGTAGGTACAACTTAAAGTTGTACCATGGTATAGGTACAAGTTTGGGTTGTACCATAGAAGGATTTTGAGAAAGTGTAGGTACAACTAAAAGTTGTACCATTAGTATAGGTACAATTTTGAGTTGTACCATAGAGGGATTTGTTAGAAAGTGTAGGTACAACATTAAGTTGTACCATAGTGTATAGGTACAATTTTTAATTGTACCATAGAAGATTTTTAGGAAAGTGTAGGTCAACTTTAAGTTTAGTGTAAAGGTACAACTCTAGAAAGTGTAGGTACATCTTAATTCCATGGCTGTTATTTTGACAAAATGAGTTGTGCGAACGTTTGAGTGGCAGCTGTGTGTTTCAATTGAATGTGAGATTTTGACGGGCGTGATAATGTCAAGTAATAGCCGTGAAATTTCCTGGGATAGTGAGAACTGCTCTTTGCATCTCACGGGACATCTCACGGTCGTGATATTTGCTTGAGGAATGAAACACTGCTTTTTACATCTCACTTGAGTATTTTACGGTCGTGAGATTACCAGAACTCCAAACTTATGAAAAAGAATAGTTGTATAGTATTTAAATTAGTAGTAATCCTTGAAAAAAAATTAATTGAAAACAAATATTGACCATCACATAAAATTCATAAAAATGTAAATTAACTTGAAGCAAATTTTGTTGTACACGTTGTTCGCTATATCCTAGTCATTCTAACGGACTTGGAGTTACAAATCTCTCACCCGTGAAATGTGATTGTTTCATAGCATAGATTGTTTACAAATTGAAACAACCTGTCATGATTTAAGTGGAACCAGAGCTAGCAATATATCATATTAGATACCCTGTAAACAAAAGTAAAAGCAGCCAAAGCATTACATCTGTCTAATTCAACAATCATCCATAACACGATTAAATTTGTCTAATCAATGCTTAAGTTGAGCTGCATGTAGTCCACACCAATGCATCATCATATTCTGATTGAAAAATACATAAGCACAAACGCAAACAGACATAACTAAGTACTAACTTAAGTTGAGCTGCATGTAGTCCACACCAATGCATCATCATATTCTGATTGAAAAATACATAAGCACAAACGCAAACAGACATAACTAAGTACTAAGGACTAAATAGTTCAACAAGATTTTTTGGTTGGCTCATTTTCACTGCCGCTCTTCCTCGTCAGTGCACTTGTCCTCTTTATTGCTTTTTTGGGTTGACTTATCTTTATTGCTTTCGTCCTCTTCATTGTTTTCCTCGGTTGGCTCATCTTTGTTGTTCGGTTGAAATGCCCACAAGCTCGTGTCTTGACGAACTTGATTAGGTCCGCAAAATGCTCCACAAAGAGTTCCTCCTGCAAGGAAAGATCTGTGAGAAGAAAGCTAAAGCCGAAAAAAGCACTTCGACATTGAGTTAGGGCACAACCAAAGACGTTCTGGAGTGCATAATTTTTCCAGGTTTAAGCTTCTTCCTAAAAGAGCAGTTTCAATGTTCCACTTAAATACATGATGCTCTACCATGATCCAGCAGTACTTTAACCTTTATTTCCCTTGCATAAAATATTGTATGTCTGTGAATCATCCTTACCACGAACAATGCTGTATTGCTCTTCAGCAGTTCCTCAAAATGAATTTGAATTTTCTCACCTTCAGGGCCTGCCTGCAATTCATTAAGGAAAAGTAAACAAGAATTAAAATATAAACTTTCCTTCACACTGAAATCGCAAACGATATTAAGTTCATTTTTTGTGAATGTTTTAGCAAGCTTGACAATCAAGTCATCAATAGCCATTCTGAGCCTTTCCATATTCAATTCAAGGTGCAGATATATAAAAGATCTTAGAGGCTGTGATCACTTATCCTGAAAATTGGAAGAGACATAATTAGCCTTCGTTTTCCAACTGGTGCTTAAATAAAGATAACTAACCTTGTCAAGATATGAGTCCAAACAGGGAACTCGTCGCCCATTGCATCATAACTGTTTGGCAGTATGGAATTGAAGTGCTCATCAATCACAGTAAGGGGACCTAAGAAATCCATACAGACATAATCAACAATTGCATTATGATATGGATATTTAGGCATCATCGATAATTATATGCAGGCATCCAATATCTCTCTGTTACCAGCAAATATTTCATTAAACATGGCCTCTTCCCCAAAGAAGTTATCACAGAAAAGATACCTGCACGACGAGGAGAAATCAAAATCCATACACTGCCAGCAAGGAAAATTAGAAGGAACAAGTATCTGAAAGCTATTCCATCATACTCTGAAGTGGCTGTATCCAGTAGTAGCCTGTGTAAGCTCCCGAAGATGACCTCATAAGGATACTTCTGGGAACTGGCTTCAGCTATATGTGGAATCAATGTTGGCTGCTCAATGTCCTGTAAAAGTAATTGAAGTGAGGGAAGGTTTCAAATTTTAATAGCAAAGGTTTCAAGGGGCCAAGGAGGAGTCTCAAGCCAAACAACATTATGCACCAATAAATATAAGAAGTTTCAGTACTGACTAACATGTTAATCCACACAAGGTTTGACATGTAAATAATGTTCTTTAATCTCAGCCATGCATACACTTGCTTTTATGCTATCGAAGGAGGGCATCATGCATGAGTTCAACAAAGGAAGTATCTATAGACTATAATATTGCCACAAACCTTTAGGAATAAGTCAGGGAACCCAGTATAGAAATAAAGTAGCTTAAGAGGGAGTTGGCCAGGAGAGAAAACTAGGGAGAAGTATGTTTACCTTCAAGATATTAATCCTATCTCCCAAAGCAAAAACAGCTGATCGATTTTTCAGCGGCTCTCTGACTCTCGAAAACAAGCCAATACTTCCGGTCTCCACACCAATTAAATCACTCGAAGTTGCTATATCGAACTGTAGTTTCTCCAGCGCTTGAATGTATGCACGAAAACATGCACTTAGAACCTGCAAACTCAAAGCTCGGGAATAGAAGTTAGGACCCTGCTTCCTCGCCTGCAATTATACTGGTACAGGTACCATGATCCTATAAAATATACAAGACAGATTAGACCACCTTGTTCATTGTGTCAATGTACGCAGTGCGAACTTCAGTGTACACTTCCTTGCCATGCTCTTTTAAAAAGGAAATGACATACCTAAAATTTGCGGCAAATGCTTATAAGACACCGATATAGAAATGGCAGCAATAGATCAATTGTCGCAAATAGTTCACTGAAATGGCTGATTTCTACCACAAATACTACCATTTTAAGGATCAAAATGAGAGAAAATAATTACTATGATTAATTAGAGGCGTCCAACCAAAGCCAGAGATGTAACTCACTTGTACTTTAAAAGAACACTTTGTTGAAGGATCTGGATATTCGTTTTAGGTTTTCTCAGAGCTTGAAGCTTCTGAATAATGAAATCAAAAACCTGGAGAAAGATATACGCATCACTTAGTAACGTTGATTCTCCAAAGAATCCTGTTGAAGGACAATAAGGTGTACACACAATGACACATGCCATTACCTTGGAAACTGCTTTCTGCCTCAGCTTCTCAAGCTCAGGTTGCACATCCTTCAGAGATTTAGAAGTTTTAATGAACGAATCAGACTCAACGAACATCAAGAAAGTAGAAAACAAAGATTATAAAGCTTAACCTCTTTGACCAACTAAAGAAATGGTCACTCTAATAGTTGTGAAGGACTTCCAATAGAGCATGTCCTATGAAACCAATGCCTTCCGGGTTTTCAGCCTTAGACCCATGTCCATAGACTTCTCTTGAAGAATTTTGATGTCTGAACTAATAGAACCGATCTCAGTCTACCAAAAACAAAAAGGAACAAATTTCACAGCTGATCAGGAAAAACTCAACACCATAACTTGTTCTCTAGTTCCATTGCTACCTAAGAATCTAAACTGAAGCCAGAAGTATAACAAAACAAAATAGTCCAACCAACATACCTGGAACCCACTGAGGAGGGTCTCCATCTGTGACAAGATGCTGTGGCAGTCACGAATTTGTTCATGAAGAGACACCAAATTATCACTTTCTTTTATATAATCCTGCAAGTTTACAATAACACAAATTACTACATCCCTTGAACAATCCATCAATGCCCACCAAGCAAAAGAAGAGAGGGAAGAGAGTACGAACCTGAATCGAATCAAATTCAACCTGCCGCAAATTGTTCTCAACTCCTTTTGTATACTCCCTCAACTTTGGACTCCTTCACTCCGACCAGCAGCTATTCTCCGACGCCTTGTCCACCGATTCCTTCGTCCGGACCTACAGCGGGAGCCACGATGCCTTCCGCTCCGATTTTGTGTCCGGGATGGTTAAAGAGCAGAATAGAGAGACGATGCGAGATCAAAGGAAGATGATCGCTTCCTCCGGAGTCGGAGTCGGAGTCGGAGTCGGTAACTGTATTTCCGGTGGTGGCAAGAATGGATGTCGGCGGTGAGAAGAAGGTTTCAGATCTGCGTGGCGAGGAGAAGGATATTGGGTTTCGAACTTTTTTTCACATACAACCGGTACAACGGGTTGTCCATACACAAATAAAACAATGTATTAATAATATAAATAAGATCTAATGGCTGATATATTTTGAACATGATCTAATGACTGAAAACGTTTTATAGCACCAATACTATAAAGCACACTAAAATGCCTCATTAAACTATTTATCATTGCCTGCGCTCTGTGCCGGGCTTGTTTTAATAATGTAATTCATTTCATAGTGCACACCTAGAAAGCATCATGACTTATACATCCTTCGCACATTTGCATGCGTCACCAGATGTATTCCAAGCATTTCAAGTTCATCCTATGTGCGTTTTGCCGTTTTCAAACCATCTGCTGTAATTGTCAGGCCACATAGAAGCATGTTGCCATAAGATTAAATCCATAACTGACAGCCAATATAAGAATTCAAGTAGGGACTCACTCCCACTGAGGCTAGAAGCCACGACACAACTTGCCTTTGCTAGTTAATTAACATGCTTATATCAACATTATTCAATCTTCAAAAATTCTCCAATCTACAATGGAAGCCTCCCCTGACCCCAGATTTCCTCAGAATCATTGGCAGCCATTCGTAGATGACTGAAACAAAAATGTGGGGTGTATCAGCTGATGTATTTGTAAGGAAGTGGTTAAGCACCATACACGGGCCTGTATAAGATCCAGCATAACCTTCTCCCAACAACTCGAGTTATTGGGAGCAACTGGTTCATGACATGGTATCAGAACCTAGAACCGAAAGGTCATGTGTTTGAATCTCCACGACCCCCAATATTAACCGTTGTCCTTCAAGCACATGGCATGGTGGGCCTGTGCAAACTTCAAGCCCATGAGTCGGCTTTCGTTTGAGGGGGCGTGTAAGGAAGTGGTTAAGCACCATACACGGGCATGTATAAGATCCAGCATAACCTTCTCCCAACAACTCGAGTTATTGGGAGCAACTGACAACTCGAGTTATTGGGAGCAACTGGTTCATGACAGTATTTGCCTACTATTACAGTTCATAATCATATCATTCAAAGGGTTGAAATATGAATTCTGGGACTTTTCAAGCACAAAAAGATGATAATCATATCATTGAAACTGAGCTTGTATAGGATTAGGATTGACAGATTGAGCAAGTGAAGGAACATGATTGACAGATTGAGCAAGTGAAACAACACTACTTAGCTCACTAATTGTTCTATTCGTATTAGTCCATCACTAGGAACAAAAACTGAACAGACCTCATCCATAAATCTTACTTTAAGGGACGAGGAAGTTTGTAGTGGTTCAAATAGGCAGTTCAATCTCCCTCTAGTCACACACTATATTGACACTGCAAGGTAGAAAACAAATGGTATGGTGTTATTAGAGAGGAAGAGGGAAATCAAAGAGAGAGTTGAGCAAAGCAACCTAGCACGCCAAGCTTGCAAGTAAGAGGCGTACAAAGTCAGAAGCCATGTAGTGCCCATAGTACAAAAACGGAAAGGAAAAAGAAACATGCCCACAGGAAAAATAAATTAGAGAGAATGAAGAGTTGAGAAGCTAGTCACCCATTATGCTCAAGTTTCATAGATAATAGGAAGATAAGCCAAACTGAAGACTTAGGAACACGGAGTCGAAGACAACATCCTGAAGAAGCATATCCTAAAAGGAATTGGGAAAATGCAGGGAAAGAAAAGGAAAAATCAGGGGAACGATATCTACATATCTTAAAAACCAAAAGCAGATACGATGTTTAAGTTGTTAATATAGTCGAAATTAGTCAGTCTCTAGCCGAGAAGGGCAACTCAAAATTGAACAATGATAAAATCACAAGCAGCGGGCAAAACATACTTGAGCTTGTGACCATAAAGCCCAGCAAGCTCTTGAAGTGTTATAGCTTGGGGACTGCGATTGAGTACTGGATTCTGAGGTGTGCTGACAGATATACCATCCATCCTTGTGTTTGTTTCTAGGAAAATTCATGAGCAACGGCATATTTCAGTTTCATTTCTTCTTTAGCAATAATCCCAAATAAAGCAGACCAGACCCAAACAATAATCCTAACTTGAATAATGCATAAGTAAATTGGAGTGAGCAGCAAAACAGCGGAAACCAAAACATAAATGTAAAATTGAATGATGTGAACTACCTGGTCCGGAACACAACTTAAACTTTTAAATTTGACAAATTCATTGGCATAACATCCTATACATAACTAAAATATCAACCAATCGTAATGGTGATCAAGAGAACATGTATGCCTCATTGACACTGAAAATCCTTATTGCTAGAGAGAATCTCAATTCATGAGTGAAATCAGTGTTCAAACTACCATTTTTTCCAAAGCAAATAATAATTCAAGGGAAAAAGAGAAGTTAGATGGATGAGAATAAAAGCTGTGACACATCATCAGAAGCAAATAGAGACAACAAAAATGTGAGTAACATCACTCCCAGGTAACAACTAAAACATTAAAGCATGTGGACTTGATAGAATTACCATTTATGAATTAAGATCCATAATCAGGATGGACGTAAGCTTTGGTTAGTATAAAGTTATATCAGCAAGCATTCGAACAATGTCCATAACTCAAGGATTCCACACTTGTTTGGATTTTCAACCCTGGCTGAAGAAATAGTAGGAAACAAAGGGATTCAAATCAGAGGGTTTACACGAATAGAAGAATGCATAAACTTAACCAGAATCCAAGAACATCAACTTACCCTTAAGTTCCAGCAAGGCACCACATCATAACCAAAATGAAATCCAGAGACCAACCTTGTCTCCCTCTTGTATTTCAAAGCCATAGAACATTTTGGCCGACAGTACATAAATTTTTAATTAATCAGACAATTCACACGACTAATAGCATGAATAGTTAAATAACCACAATTCAACAACTCTCAATGACCCTCCAAATGCAGTCTCCCTTGCAGACTTTACCGCAATTGAGTGTAGAAAAAATTGGTAAAAACATACATGGAAGGATACCGTAAACAACTCTCAATGGCCAGCAAGCATGAATGCTGCTACTGAGAGGATCATCATGCACATATCATTCGAATGGAATGCTAATGCAACAAAGCAAAAAGATGTAAAACAGACTCACGGCTTCTGTCTGAAGCTTTTGTGGATTCACCAAGCGGTGGCAGATGACTTTCCATGAAAACGTTTGTGATAGCCATATTCACTGAGGACGACTTCAATTTCAGCGCTAAGATTATGCACTACCAGGGCAGTAACCTCCAAGGTAAAACCATGGGCTTCTGTAAGCACAAGAAGGGAAAAGTTTATGCCTGGTCTATTTCGTAACTCTCCTTCCACACAAGAGAAAAGAAGACAAAAGGGAATAGATGTTGAATCTAAAAATTGGAAGTTCATATTGCGTTTCAGCACAATAAAAAAGAATGGAGGCTGATGGTGCATAAACTGAACTTGTCCCCCATCAGAACTTTGGTAGGATCCGCAAATTGTAAGCAACATCTTGGCATAAGTCAAGGAAATTGGTTTGCATTGCAGGTAACAGTTTAGTCAATTGTAGTGAACACTTTGAATAACAAAGTAGAATCCCAGTTTTAATTTTGAATGAGCAGCAGTCAAGGAAGTTGCTAAACCCAATTCGAGTGTGGTACCTAAACAAAAGACTTACCTGGTATTTATGACAAGGGGGAGCATGAAGATCCTGCTCTCTCATCAATACCACCACTGATTCATCAACGCCCTCCGAAGAATTGGACAGGCGAATCAATTCAAGTGCTTCTTCATCTGTTTCATGGACCCCGGAGATGCAGTCCAAGCCTCTGGTAGTCAGGAGATTGGTTGGCGGCGAATTTTGCAGTCCAAGCCTCTGGGGTTTCATCATCTGTATCAACACCGATGATGCACTCCAAGCCTTTCTGGGCTCTGGTTCGTCAACTTCCTTTGAAGAATCAGGATTGGGCCGGCAATTGAGAAGGCAACAACCCAGATGCAGTCGAAATCGCCGTGGTTCGTCGACGGGAGATGGCCACCGCCACAGACTGCTTCAGCAACGCTCTCTGAAGAACCTGGACAGGGCCAGCGATTGAGAAGGGGAGGGGGTTAGTTGTCGAGACTCTAAAGATTGATTCATTGATTGGGAGGCGAGGCAACTGCGTTGTGGCTATGATTTTCAAGAACCAGTTGGTCCCAATAACTCGAGTTGTTGGGAGAGGTTCAATCGTGGATCATATACCACAAGTCAACACTAACACGTCCCCTCAAACGAAAGCCACTCACAAGGGCTTGAAGTTTGCACAGGTTTGAAGACAAGAATACCATGTGCTTAACAAATGGGGGTCACCGGGAATTGAACATAAGACCTCTCAGTCACAGAAGGCTCTGATACCATGAGAATAATCAGAGATTCTGGGGGAAATGCTCTCTGAGCTCTTCCATTTATGCAAAAGAATCTTATATACAGAGTAGATTTACCTAACGGTAACTATAACTAATAAACAAATAATCCTATATATGGCCTACACGTGTATATTTACACAGTAAAAACGGAAGTAAGTTACAAGGTAAAATGGTGCACTTCATCTTGCTTCTTCTTCTTGTAAACGTCACCGTTTGAGGCTCTGTCTTCTTCTTCTTCATTTCTTCGATCTTCTGCAGAAGCAGAGCCTTCATTCCTCAATGCAGTGTGACTGCAACTTGCCTTGTCTGTCTTCTCTGTTAATGATGTTGAATGCGGCGCTAATCTCAAGGGAAGACAACGGTGGGTGGTTGAGAACAGTTGTGCCTGGTTTCAATAGGCGGACGCGGCGGCAGAGACGGCAGCAAACTTCTAACAAACCTTTCACAGCTTGTTCGAGGGAACAAGGTGCAGGTTCCCCAAATTGGGCCAGCAAAATTCGAGGTCGTCGTAAGAAGAAATGAAATGAGGATGAGGGGACAAAAACCCATTTGTAAGAATCCAGCGAGTGGACCATCTACTTGCCAAGGTAGCAGCGCCGGTGGAACGGGTTGACTGATCCGCAAGATAAACCCCTCAGTACAGTTTCAGAGAACGGACGGGAAGGCGATTAGGGTAGAGGGGAGATATGGTTGCGGGATGGAAATAGGAAGAGGGAGGGAGACAGCTTGCAGGCTACGACAGAGGTTAAAAGATGGGAAATCCCCGCCTAAATGGACTGCCACATCAGTGGCCGAAAAACACTCTAAGATCGGGAATTTTTTAATTGGGCGTGCAATTATAAGTTTCCACTATAAATGATACTAGCTTATAATCCGACGAGTTGGTCGGAGAAAGGTGAGGTATGAAATTTGATAATATAATGGGATGTATAGCTTATTGTTGTATAGTTTTTTTTGGGAAACACGTGATAAAAATAGTGAATTTTAGCAGGAAAGAGACATGAAGATGTAACGAATAAAAAATCGGCCTTATGAACCAAAATCAAGTACCTGTTAATTAGTGAAACAATATTGTTTCTGGTAATAAGATGAGGTGGAATAAGTTTTATGGAAACCGAATTCCAGAAAATCGAATAAAAAATCGCCTATCCCGTCGGTTTTTGGGAAATGAGCATCTCACAATCGTTGCTAGCTTTTACTCGGCCCGTTGGCCGATTAATTTGCTTTATAAAAATTTCATCTTATCGTCATTGTGCTTTCTGGTTTTTATCAGGCCATAATAAAATCTAAGGAAATCAAGAACGAACAACACGATTTGGGATAGGAACCGCCGTTGTCGTATCCCTAGAAAATGGTGGTAAACACGGACTCACCTGCCAAACTGGTTTGGATTGAGATTTTTATCGGGTATCAGGGAACCATGTGATTATAAATTAAACTTGATCAAAACGGGTCAAAACTTGAAATTCAGCCTGTTTGACCGACCCATGCCAAATTCTAATTATTCTTTACTTTTAAACTTTCTATTTGAAAGTAAAAAATAGTGAAATAAAAGAGATGACTGCAATTCGCCATTTGCACATTACTTATTCGGGAATAAAACCATAGAAATTCAAAAGGAACTGAAAATATTTAGGATCGTTTTAATGTTTAAAATAACCAAATAGATCTTTCTGTTTAGTTTTTTACTAACAAATACCAAACGATTCCCTATAAATTACACTATAATTTGATCATTATGATATCAAATAATTATATAATATATATTTGAAATGATAAAAATTGGACTAACTGGGTTGGTCGAGGTTGAACCATTGAATAACTTTAAAATACATTATATTTTAGCCACTAAGATATAAAATAATAGCATAATATATATTATGCCAGAGAAAATAGTTTGTTTTAGAATGGCAAACCAATGATGTTCATTTGTTTTACTTGATGGCCAAATCCCGTGTAGGTTAGGCCCATTCAACTCTTTTATTTTATGGTTAACGGTTAGCCCATTAGATACCATGCATTAGTTTATTGTTAAATTTTTTATTTTTAGCAATAAAAAGGAGTATTGTTTTTGCCTTTTCATATATATTTTATCACCACGGAGAAATAAAAAGGCTTAAAGAAAAAAATTGACACTTCTGGACCCGTTTAAATTCGCATATGTACGGTAAGTTTGCCCATTCCACAGAGGAAAGAGAGAAAAATTGACACTCCCTATTATACCCTTCCTACAAACGTTGCTGGAGCAGGGAATTTGAAATGGGGGAAGAGTTTTTTTCTCCGTGCTATTATATGTTTTTAATTTAAAAAGATACACCAAATGTATTTAGTGTGATTGATTATGATCCTTGCTTTTCTTTGAAATGGTCATGGTTCGAATCCCAGTACGTGTCTTTGTAATGAATAAAAAAAAATTAATTGTTAAGACCAAAATGTCCTTCCTACTTTCATTCTCGTTGCAAGAACTTTGAAATGGGCTCCCGTTTTTCCCTTCGGCGTATTATATTACTAGCTTATAATCCGGCCCGTTGGCCGGAATGTTCATATTTTAATATTTATATTTTTATGTTATGTTTAAGTCTATTAATTTGTTTAAGTTTATTGAAAATCATTCAATCGAGATTCTACATAAAGAATGAATATATAGGTCGAACATTCAGGAAAATACCATTCTCATATAAAAATATAAAAATGTATCATTAATCTCATTTTCATAAGGATAATTGAGCCCCCATTAAAATGATATTGGTTAATAGATTGTCCATAAATATATAATATAAAAGCTCATTGGAATTCCCACACGATGCATAGATAGTTTGAAACTGAAATGAAACCTCACAATCCCACATAAATGGTTCAAAGCTCTCCTCTATGAATAACATGTCATTAATAAAAAAGAAATGGATTTATAAAAAAACAGAAATGAAGAGTTGTTGATTCAAGTAAATCATATGCTAACAACTCAACTAAAAGGAGACCATCAAAACTTGAAAGCAAATGACAAAATTAGAGTTACATCCAATATACTAATAGACTTGATCAAATTAATGAGGCACAAAATTAGACACTCCTTATCTACAGGTTCCAGTAGTTTGAATAGTGAATCGACCTTAACTTTAGTAAATCAATCAATGATTCCTCGTTTTAACATAAACATAGGTTGTGGTAGTTGCAACAACCGTAACACCTAAAGATTCAATAGTTTCCACTCTCCGTTGTACAACCAACTTTTTATCCCCTCCATCTTCAAACTCTCGACGTATATGTTTTAAACCAAAATTCAATTTCTAATCCTCCTTCTGCAACTCCATTTATGCTACTTTGATGGACCTTCTCTACATGAACCTGAATTTCTCTTTCAATTGAGTTTCTTGTCAGCTTGAACTCCAACTCCTCAATCCTCTTTCTTGTATTTGGCCAACTCATCTTCCTCGGGGCAGTTTAATAAGCTCGTAAAACCAACACTCATCTTCAATTCCATCAATATGCTCTTCTCCTCCTTCTCTGCCTTCACCTGATCTAGTTTACTTCCATATCCTTCAATATCCTCTCCATTTTCAGTAATATCTTGATCATCTACACTTCTCTCTCTTCAACTGCTTCGATTTTGCTTCTATGTCTCTCAATACCCTCCTTGGTTCAATCACTACCCTGACCAACTGCCTCTTCACTGCCTTCACTTGTTGCAAACTACTTCCATGACTTTTTATACACCTTCCTCAAAATCACAATCAACTAACCAATATCAATCCATGGCCTTGGATCAGTTTTAAACTCTCTATGAACATCTCAATACCACAAAGTCTAAATCTAAATATTCTTTCAGTTAATCATGAACTTGAGTTTACCAAAATCTAATCTACTCCTTCTGAGTTGGAATTCCCATCCCCCAAGCTCATTTTTTGTACATTTGATCCCACATAACCATGATATTATACCTCTAACTAAAATAAATCAAAACATTTTACGAAAAGAAACCGAACCATGAACTTAACTGCTACCAAATCCAAACACAATTTCTTCCCCTCACCACTTCCCTTTATCCCTTACCAAACCCAATATCAACTTTTACTCCAAGTACACACCCCAAACTCCCAGTATGTTGCGTGAAAGCTTAATTTTAGCAATCATTATGCTTGCAATTAGATTAATGGACACCAGCAAGCGCCAAAATTCCACCAAACGATCAGTTGTCTTCACTTTGAGTTTTGTCATAAAACTGCTGGCCCGATATGTTTATCAGTATGGAGGCCATATGAAGAGCAATACCGAATCATTTGCAGCAAAGTTACCGGTCACAGTAGTGACAATGTGAAGCATGTGTTAACAAACGCGAATATGGGTTACTTTTATGGATTGCCATTAGAATGATTGGATTGGACAATGAGATCGTCCTTAGTTAAGTGACATGTAAATTGGTTCATTTGGTATGGAGGGCACAAACAGTTAATGTTCTACATTATTTTGGGTGAGTTTGTATTTAGTGTTTTCAAAATCGTGGTATATGAGTTAGGTGATTAAAATATCTAAACCCAAACAAACCGACCCACTTACACCCCTAGGAAGAGTTTCAAAACTTAGTATTTAACCGGACAAAAATGTTCAGAGATCCAGTCCCCTATAGTTTGCACAAAGATATGATTGCTTCACTATAGTTCTGGAAATTAATGATAATTTAAGAATTCTATATCGCTTATACATATTCAATACTATAATTCGATATGAAATATTTGAACCAACAATATTTTGGTTGCAAATTTATGGTTATCGTCTATTTATAAGATAGATAAAAT